GCTCAGACATATTTGTTAGCTGTGGGATATTTTGGGAAGAATAAATTCATTGTAGGAATATGCTTATTAATATTGGAGTAAGATAGTCTGGTGTGTTGGGGTCCTTCTTTATTTTCCTTCAGTGTACTTAGTAACTCTCAATACGGTTCTATGGGGAAATGTATCTGCTTTGCTGTTTGAGAGGGGTTTATTGGTGTTCTGGTGCCACCTATTGAATTCTTTTCAACTGCTTCTTATTCCATTGCTATAATAAATCATAGAATAGAATAGAATAGAATAGAATAGAATAGAATAGAATAGAATAGAATAGAAACATACAAGAGCAGAAGACCTTTAAAATGCTTAGGAGGACATAAAACTGCCATGAAATTCTGTTAAAATGCCTACACTTATTTGGAGAGAAAAACAAGCAATCTAGGACTATTATTTTCCAAACTGTTTTAAGAAGTGATCTGCTCTAGTTGACACTGACCTGAGCAGGGCAGTTGGACCAGACGATTTCTCGAGGTCACTTCCAACCTCGAGTTCTGTGATTGCATGTAACATTTGGCTTCTGTCACCATGAGTGAGCAATAAACTTCATGCTATATTTAAGCCAGTAGCATTATTCCTAACTTTACAGGGGAGAGAATGGGTAAAATTGCTTTAATGGGAGACTTAAGGAAGTGAATGAAGCAATCAGAAATACAACACTATGACAACCTTATGAGCCCTCTTTTGCTCGTATTATCTTCACTTGGAATAGGGAATCTTAAAGTATATATTTTTATCTCCATCATGTTTGCATTAGAGATCAGTAAGTAGCTTGAAAATTATTTCTCAGTGTTGCAGTAATCTCTGAGCAGTTTCATTTTGGACTTTTTCTGCAGCTTTTTTTTATTCTTTTCTTGAAAACAGTTTTTTAAGTGAAAGTTGATCTGTGTTGATGAACACAGGAAGTTAATTTTGGTCTTGAGGTACATTTATTGTGCTGAACCAAAGTAAGATTTGAGAAGGAGAAGGAATAATTGGTTCTTCAGCTGCAAAACCAAATGAAGATTATGGAATTTGAAGTGATCAAGTGCCTACTTTCAGACATGGAATTTAAAAACCATGAAGATACATTGAAAATTAATTGCTTGTGACAGATATGAATGAATATACATGTTAGCTTTTACAAGGTTTCTTGGCAGTTTAATACATACAGATAGATTATACAATTGCTGTTAATAAATGTTCCAGTTCTTACTGGAGATTTCAGATGCTGAAGAAACATTGACAGTTCAAAAGATCATCTACTATATTTTTCTTATCTGTAACATCTCTCAGGTTAGGCAGCTTCATCTGTTAACATTCTGTAGCTCTGAAAAGTATACATGGTCCTGTGTTTCAATGGAGATATATGTATATATAAATGCATTAACGTACTAGAGCAGTTAATATAACAGCTTCTAAACTCATGTTATTCAGACTGTTGTCAGTCTACTATATGTTTTACAGATTATATTCTTACAATTAAGAGCAATTTTGTTTTAACTATTTCATATGATTTCAGAGAAACTATAGGCAGGCCCATATCCTCATTTCATGGACCAGATTTTAGGCAACACACCTCCCTACTTCTATAAATGAGGAATGAAGTAGCTAACTTTGCATTACTGTTTTTAGCTGAGCTTCATTTGACTTCTGTTGGTACTTTTTCTTTAAAATATTAAACCTTCTGGCCTTTTCCAAATTTTAATTTGTAGGAAGAGATCTTGAATAATGTACAGTCCACAATGAATTCAACTGCTCACTGGAAAAGTGCTTACAAGATTTTAGCTTTTGTTGACATTCATTTTTATATCATGGCTTATACACATTTCATGACAGTTCTGAGCATAATGAAATTGCTCGCTTTCCACAGGTGACTTTGTCGTCACTGGTCATGTGTTTTTAATAGCTGTTGTTGGTCTTCTGAACTGTCCATATTGGGTGCAGAATCCATCGTGGCTATTGAGCAGCCAACTCATGTGCTGCTGCTTGTTGGGTCAATAAGGAGAGAAATCTTCAGAGTCCTGGGAGTTTGTCGAGCTTCTGTGTCAGAGATGAGACATGGTTTTGACCCTGGCACATAAAGAAGGCAACAGAAGATGGATCCTTCATAAGTATTACAGTTTTTCCACATAGCCTTAAAAACAAAAATCCAGGCTTAAAGGAATTTATTTTCAGAAGAGTAGAGCTACAACAGGTAGGGAAGCTGAAGTAAAAGAGAAATTATACAGTGAAGTACTATTTGAAAAATACAAATGCAAAAAAAAAATAATCCAGGAAAGAAACATACTGGGAAAGAACTAATAGAAAAAGGGAGAGAAAGGAAGAGCCAAACAGGCAAATGAAAGTCTGTGGATAGACACAGCAAGTGTGAACAAGTAGAAGTTTGTTCCTTGCTGAAAGCATAGGAGGCTGTGTTAGAGAGAGATGCCTTGAGGGAACAGGCATGCTTTCGGCATGGTTTTCAGGATTCTTACATTAAAGTTGAAGTTTCTAATCCTCAAAATGAGTAAAAGATATAGTGAGAACAAACCCATGGTTCCAGCCATTGCCATTTATTTTTGTCTCTTGCAACAGAAATTTTACATTACACCCATACAAAATGTTTTGGGTCAGGATTTCAAAGCAGAGTGCAAAATTGAGGCTTGTTTTTATGGGTATGAAAAGATTATAGCTCCCAGCTCAACTCAGGAGGTAATTTATAACCTAGAGATAAGACTTATTTGGAGAGATTCTTAACTATCAGCAGGATGGTCCAGAAGGGGCACTGCCATTTAGAAAGTAATATTGGGGAAAGTAAATGACTTTCAGCAATGCGAAGGCTTGGCTTTCCAGCTCTTGTACAGTGAGGATTATAGACAAGTGGGATTTTTCTTGAGAACAAAATTAGTGTTCGTATCTCTTCTTAGCAATAAAATTCTTCAGCAAAAACCCAGTCTCTATTTGTTGATATTGCTTGTACTTTTGTATGCTGCTGTGTGGTGATGAAGAAGATTTTGAAGGTTTTAGCTTTTGATATTGCAAAATACATTGTTAAATACAAAAACATTTAAGTATTCTCCCAGTGAAATCTGTCTTGAGAAATGTGGTTGAGAGAAAACTGTACAAACCATTGGCCTTTTCCTAGTATAGATGAGCTTCTCACCTTCATGCATTGCTCACCTGGTGATATCTTTTTTCCACAATGCAGCAGGAGATGAAAATCTGGCAACTGCCACCTCTCCCTCCCTTTTATCACCTTCACCTGCACGCTCCACATCACTCTCACCTCCAGGCACCACTGAAGGTAATGGTAAATTCAGAACTGTGGCACTGCTGTTCTCATTTTAGCTGAACTGGCATCTACTTCTAGCATGCATTGGTTAACTTCATCACTGCTAAAGCAATCTGGTGATTTATGTTGTCTGAGGAAATTATATTACAGCAAAATCTCTTAATGTGTTGATAACATATTTAGTTTTGTTTATTTTAATTAAGTTATAGGTGGGAATTTGAAACATGCTTTTCAAAGAAAGCAAATAGAATTTAAGTTATAACATGCTGCTGTTATGAGTTTGTGTTTTCCTTATGGACACCTCTTCCCCTTGGGCTCTCAGATGGGAGTTTCATACTGAGCTGTCACACTGGCACTTCCCTGCAATTCATGTAGAGCTCCTTGGGCCCTGCAGCAGTATGTGATGATTGTGGGAAAAGCGTCCTTCCTGAATCAACAACACAAACCCAAACCATCCCAATTATTCTGGGCTTTTTGCAAGCTGCACATTAATTCACCTGCTTCAGCTGGTTTTTCAAACACCTGAAATCAGTGCATCCCCCACACCCGGCTAAAGGATGATCGAATCTCTGCCACAAAGGCATCCCAGACAAGTTGGTGGGAATTTGGAATTACTGGTCTTGCTAACCTAGTCACAAGCCGTGCTCTTGCAATAAATCCAAGAAGATTTGTTACACAATCTGTGAAGGAACTAGAAAGCGATGTAAACCTGTTCTTTTTGCCAGTGCTGGAGGGAGAAATATAATTCAGAGAGCAGCTGGCAGCCTTTCTGCTTGCAATGAGCTTCTCACTTTCAGGTGTTGCTCACCTGATGATATTTTTCCCCACTGTGCAGCAGGAGGCGAAAATCTGGCAACTGCCACCTCTCCCTCCCTTATGTCACCTACACCTGCACACTCCACATCACTCTCACCTCCAGGCACCACTGAATGGTGAATTCGGGACCGCAGCCCCTGTTTCAGCTGAACTGGCATCCACTGCAGCCTTCCTGATGTTGTCTCCACGCCTCAGGCTGCACAGCACAAACTCCTGGCTTAAGGAATAATGATTTTTTTATATGGACAATATCAATCTATGTATCATATGCTTGATATTTTGGAGATCTGGTTGTTGCTGCATTCCACTAAATATTGCTTAAGAATGTGTAATTCCCTAGGGAAAGCTCAGCTGATAGTTGGAAGGAAGGAATGTTTCTTTTAATGTTTTTGGCATATGATTTTGTTTAATTCCTTGAAAGTTTAATTTACACTTTCTCCCTTTTTCTGTTTTTAAGGAGTTGAATCAGCAGCGACTACACCTGGTAAGAAGCTTCTAATTAACATGACAGAACTGCATTGATGTTTTTTTCTGATAATTTCTTCTTTCCTTTTCCTATGCACAATTATCTCCCAGAGTGTATAATGCCTTTTTATTCAGCCCAGTGAAATGAAATACACTGTCTTAAGAGGCAAGAGTATTGGACAAGTCTGGTTTTGAATAACAAGTTTGAGTAAGTTTTAAAACACAGCATTCAGCGTGAATGAGGTGCAGTCCAAAAAGGATTATACTTACAGGATGTTCAGCTGACACCTGTTGAACCCCCTAACACCTTGAGCGTTTGATGTGCCTTTGCTTACTAACAAATTCGCAGTGCCTCAGTATGAGAGCATTCCAGAACAGCAGTCCTGTGTTTTGTGCAGCTTTGTGTCCCTCCTTGACCCAGCAGCCTCTGAAGCATTAATGAAACTGCTGTACCTCTCACCACAGGTGTCTCTCCTGCAGGCAGCACATACCTCTCCACGCACGCAGGCTCCGTCCCTGCCACGGGACTCGGCAACCCGCCACACAGCAGCACTGCTGCCCACACCACACGCACTCCCATTGCCTTCCAGAATGCTTCCTCAGGTTTGCCGTCTTCATTTAGATGCCACTCGCTACTCTCTGAACTGTGGGGAAAAACTAAGTCATTACTTCTGGGGAAGACTAAGTAATTCAGCCTCAGGGTAGCCATTTCCAGCTTATGATTCATCAAATTAAAAAAGGTGTCTGCAATTTGGCATAGTGACAATATCAGAATTATTTCCAGAATCTGATATCCCATGGCCAAGGCTTGTAGTCATCACAGTAGTATCAAAATGGCAGCTGCTGGCAACAAGACTGTTGCCAAAGCAAGAGCAATAGGAATGGACCTAAAAGAGAATGTAGAGTCAGGGGTTTATGAGCATGGAGATAAATACTGAGATGTAGCAAGTAATTTACTGAGCAAGATATGTGATCTGGCAAATGAACACTACTGGAATGCTTGTTTCTGAAAGAGCACAATCACTTTTCATAATTGTGTTTTACTGTAGGAACATAGCAAAATGTTTTTGTTTCTCGCAGTCCACAATTATTAATGCCATTTTTATGTTGACACCATCTTGGATTATGCCAAAATAATGACCAAAAAATGTCCTTGTACATTGCAAAATTCATGTAAGTGGTGTATTCCTAAAAGCTTGCTTTCTTTTTAAACACTCATTTTCTCTTTTATTGAATATGTTAGCATAGTTTTTCTTTCAGTATTCTTTCTGAATTACAGAAATCCTGGAATAAAAACAGAAAGTGAAGAAGGGCTGTAGTGTAAGACATTTCTGATGACATAGCCATATGAAATAATGAATTTTGCTTTTTAATGCTGATGTGTTGTTTATTTCCTTACAGATGATTACAATTCAACATCCTTGCACAGCACCATCTCACCAGTCAGCATGCCAGCAAACACTGGGATCAACCCCACTCACACAATAGGTGACAAACTTGCACACAGTTATTACAATTATGACAGTGCAACCACAGAAAATGTGTTAGAATAAGGGAATTTGTTCTGAATTTCTTTTGTCAAACTTAAGCATAAAAATGAGGCATAGAACTGCATTCATCTTAAGGGTGTTTTTAGGAATCTTATTAATAGTTTATGAGTAATATTAAAGATACTAGATTTGCTACGTGTCAAGCAAGTGAGAAATAGAAATGATTTCTACAGTGGCATAGCAGGAGGGTAAATCTGTCAATTACTGTGTCAGTACTCTTCTTGATATTCACAGAAATTTGCCCAAGCAGCAAAAATATGAATACATCCACAGATCTGTGTGCTTCTGTTTCTGGTGGCTTACCTTTTGTTTTACTCAGCATTAACATTTTCTTGGTATCTCCTATTGCAAACACTTACAGTTATGAGTATTGCAGTTGAGATGTATGGAGTTAATCAGGTCAGTAAAATATATGTGTGCGCTTGAGCAAAGTACACCCAAGAGCTGGACTCTTACCATCTTTGTAACTGCCCTTCATGTAGCTACAGGCTGCTGTCAGCTCTTTGACAGGCAGAGCTTGGCTTTTACTTGAGGGCCTCTAACCGTCTTGGTAACTCTCCACTGGACACTCGCAGTTTACCCTCACACTAGGGGCACTACTCAGGCAGATGACTCCCAGCCCGGAGGGATGCAAATCTAGGGCCTATCTTCTATGAAAAAAAAAAATTGATATCATACTCTTTTGGTAATACTTATACCTTAGTATGTTTTATGTAATTGTTTTCAGGATGAAGTTCTTTGCCCAAGTTTCTGTTTTCTAAATACCAGCTCAGAATTTCTTTTGGGGTATTTTGGTGTAAAAATAGTTGTAAAATGAACTGTACTGTCACATAAATCTCTTTCCAAAGGTAAGAGTAGCTGTGTAAAAAGTAGGTAAACTTTGTTTCCCTTGTGACTTTGGATACTCTTCAGTTAGCCATTCCTCAGCATACCTATCCTGGGAAACTGCTATAGCTTATCATACTGCTATGAGAATGTGTGTTTTGGAATACTCTTGTGTAACTTCGTATGCAGAAATGTAGCCAGTTAGATTTGTAGTCAGTGATGTCATTGAAAAATGATGAAAGACACATGATCCCTAAAATAACTGGTTAAAAAATGAGTTATATGTCGCTGATATTTTCTTCCCTTTTTAAAATGTGAGTTGAGTGCTAAATACAATTGCTTGTATTGAATGTACTGAATGAAGAGTTCTCGGCTATACTAGTCATCTTCCTCCAATTCTCCGTGAAAAAAAACCCCAAACCTGCTGAGCCACAGCTTCATTTTGTTTTCTTTTCTTATAGAAGCTCCCACAGTGACAACTGAAGAACCTTGTGGTAAGAACCAAACCCCTTATTTTTCTCAGTCCTGAAATTTGACTAGATCTGTAAGCTCAAATACAGAAATCCGATCCGTTAGTGTCTCAGGTTATTTTATAAACTGTCTTCCAATTCTGAAAGAGTGGGATTAAAGTTATTAGCATTTCTGGTCTTCTCATCTCCATTTACAGTTCTGTTTAATTGCCCCGCACTAGGCTGCTGGTATGAGGGCTGCAGAAAAGATCTGCCTTCATTCTACAAGGCCCTTTCTAATTTTTCCCCACCTTGCAGATAATCACATGCTGCAAACTGCAATTTATAACTGAAGTAAAACTAAAGTTTGGACATGGGTTTATCTCTCTTCAGAATTAGATGTCTTCTTTCTAATTTTCAGGAATAGACTATGGTGATTATTTACTACATGATTATGAAGTGTTTTGAATAAGAAAATTTGAAATTTCTGTTCAAACAAATGATTCAGTTTGTTAAAACTATTTCACTTTGAACTAACATTCTAAATTAAAGCAAATCTGCTTCTGGAATGTTATTATTTTTAATTCTTTAGTTTTCCTAACTAGAATTATTTGAAAGAACTGTTATATTATGATCATTTGAAATAACATTTTCCTTAGGAAAATGTTCTGTCTTGACTAAAAATTTTTTAAGTAAAATATACATTTAAGAAATAAAAATAAAGAATAAGAAGCAGCTAATTTTGCTGTACTTTCTGATTCTTAAAATTAATGTGATACTAGGGGTGCCATAAAACTTTTAAAGTTTCTTAAAAATTGTTATCAAATCATTATTTGCTGTTTTACCTTTTTCTTTTAGATGCTATTGACTACAGCATAAGTAGTGTAGATGCTGAGAATAATATGGCTGGTGTTACACTGAAAAATCTCGTAAAAAACAGAAACTATAGTATTTTGGAGGCTAAGATGAACTTCATTGTGCATTCCATCACCCATGAAATAGAACTTCAGAGATGCATGAGATACACAGTGAGAACTGAAAAATGCCCAGACAATTGTCTTATTATTCCACCTGGTAGGTATAGAATGGTTTCAGTAGTTTCTTCCTTTTTTTCCCTTTTTTTTACATGCAGTAATTCAGCTTTCCTGGCTTTCTTAGTCTATTGTCTTTTTTTCAGAGAATCGGTCAGAAGATATTCATACTTTGTGCTTGGTTTGCAAGATACTTTGCATTTTGAAGTAGCACCTTAAAACCTCTCAGTATTTCTTAAAGTAGGCTGTAAAAAAAGTAGTTTTCTCATTGTAAAGGAATAAATTAGTTCACTTAAGAGACTGTTGGATTAAAAGTTTCATTTATTATCTGAATAGCAGCATTGTCTCATGTAGGCTTTTTCAATTTTTTACTTTCCATTTCTTGTTAAATTCTTTATGTATTATTCTGTGCCAATTGTATCTTTCATATTGCAGAACAAGTCAACAAATATAAAAGAACAAATTGCTATTTAAAGAGTCAATATAGCCAATGTCACAGTGACATAAAATATTAATCTTTCTCAGGCAGCAGACCAAATCCTTTCAATGTTATGAATATAACCAACACATCTGCAAAGATATGTTGGGAGCACTCGCTTTCCTGCGCTAATGTGACGGTTAGCTGCAATGGTAAGACACTTTAAATATAGATAATTTAAAAGTTGATTATTTTTTATTTGTTTATTTTTAAAAGTGATGGTGATGTTGTCTTTTGACAAGAGACTGACACATTTAAATTAATTGTGCCACTTTCAGGGGAGGGCTGTTCAGAATTTCTGGAATTGCCAGACTGGGGACTTCCGTGCCCATGCACTGCAGATCTAGGGAAAGTTCAGACCCAGAGAGCTCATTTCCCGAGTTTACCAGATTCACAAATTGCAGACTTCTGAAAATGTTGAGGTCCTGCCTGATGGTCTGAAGGGGAGCCGAGAGTTTGGAAATCCTGCAGTCTGTGGGTCTGCTGTGAGCTGATCCCTTACAGAGTACCCAGGCAGCTGGCTCTGCAGGCTCCTGGATGGTGAGAGTCCAGGCTCTCTGCTCTTGGAGCCAGCCAGCCTGAGAAGAAGACAGAGGCAGATAGTATGATAAGGAAGATACGGATGCTGGATATCCTCATGTGTCCCAGAAAAACGCATGATGGATGTTTGGGGCTGGAGACTTAACATTTCAGGAAGCTGAGGAGTTAAGAAGCCATTTCAGGGTTCTGCTAGACTCCCATGAAATGTTTTGATTTCTGTGGGAAAGCTACTTTCTTAGAAAGACAAGTCATATGACCTTTATTAATGAAAAGTACAGATCTATGCAAAAATAAGTTAGCATAAAAGATCCTAAACCTAATAATTGGATTAGATTGTACACTTCGAAATGTTATGATCGTTTATTACAAATTATGTTGAATAAATATGGTAGAGAAAAATGCCACTTAAATTGGTACTGTGTGCTTTTGGAATTGTGAAAAGTATTGAAAAAAACCTCTCTGGTGTCTACAGGTTTTCAATCTACAGCATTAAATAAAGATTGTGAAGAACCAAACACTTTATCACCCAACCGTATGTACGACTGCAGGGGTACCGTGCGTTTTCTTGAAATGGAGGTTGTCAACCAAAGATTCAACATAACAACAGATTATGGTGGTAAGTGTGATGCTTATTTTTGCTTTACGTTCCACATATTTCTGGAAAACCCTACTATGAATCCTACTATGTGTTTCCTGTTGTTGAAGATCTATTTTGAGTACCATGCTCAGCCACGGTCAGGTTCTCCCCCAGGTCCTCCTACCCAGTCTCCTGGCCTTGTGGTTGTTCTTTGACTGTAGTCAGTCTTCCTTTCCGTTTCCAGCCCCAGTCTTCCAGTCTGATGCCTTCCTCTCCTTCTGTGATGATTTTTTTTTTGAGAGTGAGATTATGGCCAAATGTAAGGAAGATTGAATGAAGAAAAAAAAAAGGCAGACATAGTAAAAAACAAGTGTTAAGTTCTTGATTTGAAGAAAGATGTGATAGAATAATTGCAAAGAACGTCTTCAGATAAAATGATGTGTTTTTCCAAAAAATTGCCATTGAAAATAGCATAGCTTTATTTTTTTTTCTGTATTAAAAAGGAAATCAAACTAAATCAAGTAACTTGCAAATAAAAATTTAGGCCAAACATTGAAAGTTTGTAAAAATTGTAAGGAAAACAAAACAATGTAAAATATTTGGAAATGTTGGCCAATTTAAGTAATATATGATATTGCCTTGTCCCAAATTGATTTATGAAATTAATATGATGCTTTTACATATACTCACTTTATACTTATGTATAATTTCTTTCAATTAAATAGACTATGAAGAATATTACATGTTGATGGTATCTTGCGTTAGTATTCAATCCCCCGTTATTTTCCTTTCACAACAGCTCCAGAAACACCAGAGAAACTTGAAGTAGTTCCTAGTGCCAGAAATGTATCAGTTAGATGGAGTAAACCTAGCAATGATTCAAAGGGTCCTACAGATGGCTATATTGTGAAATGCAATGACAAAGGTAAGTATAGGTCCCTGCGGCATTGAATAATTCATTGCATGTTTTAATATTCACAGATCTCCAAGCATGATGAGTTGTCTAACCATATTGGAATCTCTTCAAACTGTGCAGATTTTTTTTTTTGAGTGCAAATATTTAACTTTCTTTACTTTATTCCAGTTGACCCATTGGTTATGCAGTATGCCATTTCAGGACACAGCTCTGTCACCCTTCAGTTCTCATGCTTCTTGTATTAAGAATACGCTATGACAAGATCATTAGTTGCCTTATCTGTTTGTAGCATGGTGCTCTGTCTCAGAAAATGCTGCTATAGCTGGTTAATATATTTTCTGAGAAGACAGAGACCTGCCTTCTGACTAAAAACTGTGACTGACTTGCAGTGGTAGAAGCTTGGGGATGAGTGGCTGGAGCTGCCAGGCAGAAAAGGACCTTTGGGTGTTGGTGGACAGCAGGATGCCCATGAGCCAGCACTGTGCCCTTGCAGCCAAGAAGGCCAATGCCATCCTGGGGTATATCAGAAGGGGGGTGGTTAGTAGGTCAAGAGAGGTTCTCCTTCCCCTCTACTCTGTCCTGGTGAGACCACATCTAGAATATTGTCTTCAGTTCTGGGCCCCTCAGTTCAAGAAGGACAGGGAACTGCTTGAAAGAGTACAACACAGATCCACAAAGATGATGGAGGGGGTGGAACATCTCCCTTATGAGGAGTGGCTGAGGGAGCTGGGTCTCTTTAGCTTGGAGAAGAGGAGACTGAGGGGTGACCTCATTAATGTTTATAAATTTGTAAAGGGCGAGTGTCACGAGGAAGGAGCCAGGCTCTTCTCGGTGATAGCCAGTGACAGGGCAGTGGGTGCAAGCTGGAGCATAGGAGGCTCAATCTGAACATGAGGAAAAACTTTTTTACTGTAAGGCTGACAGAGCACTGGCCAAGGCTGCCCCCAGAGGTTGTGGAGTCTCCTTCTCTGGAGATATTCAAAACCAACCTGGACGTGTTCCTGTGTGACCTAGTCTGGGTGATCCTGCTCTGGCAGGGGGATTGGACTGGATGATCTTTCAAGGTCCCTTCCAACTCCTAATATTCTGTGATTCTGTGAAAAGTCAAGGGTCCTAAGTGTGGCAGTTAGCATATATATGCTTAGATAGGTAAGGCCAGGTGGTTATCTTCTACTAAATGGTCACTCCTTTCAGATATGTTGTTTTTGGCCATTTTACATTTAGATGGATAAGTCTGTATCCATTATAGTGGGACCATGTTTTCCAGGTGTGAGCTTTTCTTCAAAACGAGGACTGAAAAATGATGTTTTGAAAATGAGGATCCTGATACATGATTCCGGGAAATATATATATCAAGTTTAAGCTAGTCCTGGGTTAATTCACTTTTCTGTTCACATACTGCATGTTTTGTAAAGCTGGATTGCCACAGGAACCAAAGGCTGTGATGCTCACATGCTCCCCAAATGCAAATAATCTCTCCCATTCTCCGTGTCTCGAATTTGACCGCTACCCAAAGGGTGGCAGCTCCATGCACCAGTTTCTGTGCTTAGTCTGACTTGGTCAGTGCAGGAGACTGAGGCAGCGCGCTGGGGATGTAGAGAGGTCACATCTGAAACAGCCAGAAGGAAGCATGGAAAGTCCATTGCTCCCCAGATCCTCAAGCCACCAAAGCCCCAGCTGCAGTGTGGGTAATAGCTTTGCTCATGTTTCTCATGCAATTCCTTTCCTTCCTGCTTGCCACTACTGAAAGCGCACGACATCTCTCACATCATACCGGAACAAACTTGCCCGGTGTGCAGAGTGACTTTTGACATCTGTCCACTAACCCCTTCCCAAGCTGAACACAGAAGAATGTATCAGCTTCTCTTTATCAATGAGCTTTATGTTAGTTTTTAATTGCACCTATTTAAATACGGAGAAAGTAAAAAGCAAAACAGAACAAAACCGCAACTTTCTAACTTTTTGACTGGGGAATGCATTTCTTTCTCTTCCTGAGCCTTCACTCAGCATTAGTGAGACAAACCAACCAAGTACAAGGTAATTAAAAGTACACATGACAGTGGTTTCAGGTAGCTCTGATGAAGGGTAAGAGTTCCTGTGCTATTAACATGACTTTCATTAATCTCATTGATTAATTTCATTTTTCATTTTTTCTTAAAGAGGAAGAATTTGTTCATATGACTGACTTTATTTGCCATGACTTAGAACCTTACACCAAAGGTTTTGTGTCTGTGACTCCATATACGAACAGCAGATACAGTAATAGAAAAATACGGGGAAAACCTGGAATGCATAATTTTACAACAGAATCAGCAGGTAAGTTTCTTTTTTAAAATCTGCATTAATTGAAATTCTTGATAACATTTTAGAAAGCATTACATCCCAATCCAAAGAAAAGATTCAAATTAAAGAATAAAAGAATGAAAAGCATTCATTTTTTCTTTGTGGCATGAAAACTACAAAGACATGCAGAATGTACCTTCTGTTCTGTAGTTGCCTGTTTGCTCAAAGCAGACCTGCATTACTCAGGCTACTCCACTACTGATGTCTGTATGGGGTTTTGGTTAGTTTGGATGTACATGTACACAGTCAGCTTTTAGGACTTCAAATGAGGTTAATGCCAAAGATGTGCCAACCCTTGTGCTATCAAAAAGGTCTGTGCACCTTTTCAGGACTATACTTTCAAAAGCTTACCTCCATGGTCCTGATTCCTTGTCACACATGTTCAATTGATAGAACTACAATAAAAGCTAAAAAGCTCAAACCAGAACAACAGACTTTGCAGATCAGATGCAGACAAGATGTAACAGAGACACAGTCCACCTTGTCCAGACTTAGCTAATATAGAGACACAGCTATAGGGGAAACTATGATGGTTTATACCTGGTAAAATACTAACTTAATATTGCCTTTAATCTCACTGAATAAGCAAAAGTTTTTTTTTAGTGAAAAATATTTTTTTGTGCTAGTGATGTATTGATAGTTTAATGTAGTTTTTTTTCCCCCCTAATAATAGGAATAAATAAATCTTTTGTAACTTTTAGCACTCCTGAGAAGTATGTAGAAATGGATATATAAGAACATTAAATCTGACTGCTGTTTTTATTAGAAGTGATTCTGTAGAGCTTTGGGAAGTACAGGGCAAAATATTGTTTTGAATTTGAATCCTATCCTTCTGTGGAATATACAGAGCTTTTGTATCCAGTTTTATAGACAATCCATGAAAACACTGGAATCTCCCTATTACTCTGGGTCATTGAGCTAACAAATTTTAGTTTATAGTTGGAAGAATACAGGGATCAAAATTATCACCTGAAGCCTCATGGGAAAAAAAAATCTGATAAATGAATTGATTGATAATGTGAACCATTTGATCATTTAACTGTAACAAACTGAAAAATGTCTTTAATTTTTAGACAGGCCTAATTTGAGCATGATCGTGATTTTCCTCTCTATGATAATCTAGTCTGAGCATATTATATTTTGGGGCCCTCACTTTCTGGGGCTCTACTTGTTTTAATAACTCAGGTGAAGATCATAGTCCACAATGTAATTTTATGGGTCTGTAAAACAACCTCAGGTTTGTTTTTTTTTTGTTTGGTTGGTTTTTTTGGTTTTTTTGTTTGTTTTTTAAAGAAAATAAAAAGTTCTTACCTTTGTGATTTAATGGTGTTTATTACACCTTCTCCAACTGTTAAAACAGTTGATAAAATGATCAAGCAGATAGTGGAAGAGTTTTACGGCTTCTTGAACAAGAGAATATATCAGTAGAGCACAACTCCTTGGAAGTAGAAAAAACACTAAATTTTATAAAATATTTTTTTATCTTCAACAAACACATTGCCTCCTTAAATGTTCACTTTCTCCTTGTCTCAGCTCTTTCAGTAGTAAGCTGAATAGGAATCTGCCCTGTGTATGAAAATAAGCAGATATGTCGTTACCACACACTCAGCCAAGTAAAATATCCCGTCACTCCTCATATTGAACATTTGATCTGCTCATAAAGCCTCACAGATCTTTGCTCTTCATATGAGAAAAAAGCTACTGCCTTTTTTTTTTTTTTAATATGCTAGCTTGCAAATGGAAGTGATTTTGAAGAAAATTTCCATGGTAGCATTCTACTGAAGTGTGGCTAATGAAGCTGCCTTACGCAGGAGGTTACTTACTTTCTGAAAGGTTTTATAAGCTCTCAATGTAAGGTCCCTTGGGCTGTGCCCTCAGTCTGAAACATTTGCTGCAACATACAAAACCAGAGTAGAAAACACAGATTAGATTTAACAGACTCCTTATCATTAAAAAGTTTTTGTGGTTTTAGGCCAGTTTTAAGACAATGTGACACTTAAAGAAAAACGCTACTATTCCAAGTATTAAAATACACTGGTAACTCCTGGTAAGAAATTTCCTTTACACAAGTTTTGAAACATACATAGAAAACTGTTTGTTCCCTTGTCTGTTGTCCCATGTTCCTCAAATGAGAAAGTGATGTCAGATGCAAGAGGGACAGTTGCCATCCTGTTAAATTGGCAGCCTGACTGTCAGTAGAGCTGTGATCTTCCCGGCCTTTTCACTTCCACTTCACACCTTTTTCAGTTCAGCTAAGCCTGTGGTTAGCTCAAAATTTATTTTGTCTTCTTAAATTGGGATTGAAATTTTTAAGGAAGAAAATGTATGACATTATTAAGAGAGAAGATAGCAAACAGACATGAACAAATACAGCTGTTGAAATGCTTGGTTTGAAATGATGAGAATAGAACCAGTAACACTTCTTTTGTGAACAGAGCCACAGCCAGTGATTGACGTTAATGCAACATTGACAGCTGATAATGCTGTCCAAATTAAGTGCAAAAGTCAACAAGTGTACGGAGCAAAAAAAGTATTTGAATTGACTTGGGAAGATGATGGAACAAAGGTCGCCAAAGACAATTATTGTGATTTTAAAAAAGAAAATCTCTCGTACTTGAAAAACTACACATTTACGGTAAGTAGGCTTATTAAATTAAATATGTAAAATATTGCTGTATTTTCATTGTTTAAGTATATTATACTTGATTTTAGGAAAAAAAAGGCAAATATGGTGGTAGAGGAGTTAATCTATGGATCTGTAAGCCACAGATGTAAAGAAGTGTCTATGGATATAAAATGTGTATGCGCCTAGCCTATCAATTAAATCCTTGTGGGCTATTTCACACGGGTTCTGACAGCCTGAAAATACAGTGTAAATAGATTGTTTGTGCTTGGGACAGAGAAAAATTGTGGGTTTCCGTAAGTTTTAAAATAGTTTGGCTCTAAACTTTGGCTTCGGTTTCGAACTTATTTAGCCCAGTTCTTAGAGGGAAAACAGATAAAGCCTTATGGCCTTAACCAACAATGGAAAGATTCTGGCTCAAGTTATGGAAGGCTCAAGAAGTAAAACCACATCACCTGTGAGAGTTGGTGGATGTCACAATTTCTTTCTGCCTGCACACTGAATTGTTCAAGGAATAAACAGGAGCCTACCCAGCACACTTTTTGGTTTAGTGATGTTTGCACTAGGTTTCTGGCTTTTGGTATTTGAGAAGCCCCTTGCTTGTTTTCTTTGCCATCTCTGCTACTCCTCTGGATGTTGCTACCTAGCATGGCTTTCTTCCCAGCTGCAGAGTTGAGAAACCGCCAACCCCCTGAACACATCAGCCTTTTAGAGTAGAGAGTGGGAGTTGGGGCACAGTCCTCCAAGTCTTCAGGAAAGGTTTCTCTTAAGGAGTCGAGTAGGCTCAGTAAGAGCTCAGCCTGCAGTCAGCAATGGTGCCTAAAGCTCTTCTCCACCCCCTTTGGATAACTTGCAGCAGGACGATATTACTATTAAAATCACTAATATTCAATCCTGTTAGTGTTCTCCACTGTTTAGTATTAAATCTTTAAGCTTAATCATAAGATTAATTTTTCTTCACAGGAAAACTGTGAGATATTTGATGTACAAGTTTAAGCTGCCTATTAGATCTGATAGGAGTTTCTATTAATAAAATTTAAAAGACTGGATAAATGTAAAATATATTATGTAACATAAACTCATCTAAACAAAGTTAGTATTTTAACACCAGCTAAAGTACCCAAAAGTTAATGTTGCAAGAAAGCAGCTTATTTAGAAGTTTATTTTGGCTTCTATAATGTAAACTTTTATGAATTTCTCCCATTCAGGAACTTGTATTAAAAATATCCAATTCAGTTGACTATTTGTATCTTTACTGTTGAAGGTAATAAAATAATGATGTTTTATTACATGTTGCATGGTTGTTTTTCAGATTTGAGAGATTTTATTTTGATTTGAAAAGAGATAAATTTGACTTTCCTTGAGATACATCTGATTTTGATTTTGTAAAATGTGTCTCCTTATTTCACTAACTTTTTTTACAGTCATCTGCATTTTTTTGAATCATTGAAAACAAATAATTTTCAAATATACATTGTGCTTTGCTTTAAAAAAAAAGCAGATTTTTTTACTTGTTTTATCTTAATGTCTTTATTCTCATCCACTGCAAGCAGATCTTAGTGTTTAATGGAGATCATAGAGGGCAGCCAGTAAAGAGGAGTATAAGAACCAGATGTAAGTAAATATATACAGCATTTTAACTTTTAAAAATCTTTGTATAAAGTAATAGAGTAAATTGTGAATTCTGTTACAATTGCTCCTAATTTAAAATCCAGACTGCCTGTTTTTATAATTAATAGTAGATCTGAACTTGAAAAAAATAATACCTTCAGCATTAATGTAACAGAACATGTTGACAAGTCATTGACTGTAATTCAGAATTATTACACAGCCGTTGTTTCTTCAGGAAACATTTGAATGCAACTAGAAATTAATTTCTCTAACTTAAATTATTCACTTTAGGATTATTTTCCTGTGTTCAGATCCTACATTTCAGGAACTGAATATCTGTGACTTGTCAGGTATTCCCAACTCCCAGATCAGGAGCAGCTGAGGGCTCTGCTGCTCAGGTGTAGAGGTCACACAGAGCAGGAGACAACCATGGTAATGCTGAGCCAGTGAGTGAGTTTTAGCATTTTGACAGGTGGACATGGAGAGTTTAAGTGAAAGTTATCTTAATGAAGAAATAAAACTCTCTCCTTATCTGTGAGCTTAAAACTTTTGGCAGCTTGGAATAACAAACTTACACTAAACACTTTAAAATAATTGTTCTTTTCATACAAAAAATAGTAAAAATCAATGCGACCTGGTTCTAGGAATAATAGAGATTTTTTTTAAAAAAGGGGAAAAAAGAAATTTTAAAATGCTATAAATTATGTATTCAAGAAATAATAAATGTATTATTTTTCTGTTGCTAGATAATTCTAGAGCTCTGATTATATTCTTGACATTCTTGATCATTGTGACATCAATTGCTCTACTACTGGTTCTATACAAAATCTATGATCTTCACAAAAAAAAGCTTAGGTAAGTGTCATGTTTCTCTCCCACTCTTATATAAATGGGGGATGGGGAAGGAGAGGCTTTCTGTTTTTCCACAGGATTTCCCAACAGGCAGCTACAAGTTTGATACTTCATTAATACTAGGAAAAAGACATCCTTTTACCTTTTGATCCTTTCAAAAGAAAGTTTTTGTTGGTTTGTCTGGCAATACAAATGCAATGAAATAGATTTAAAGTCTCTCTGCTATACCCTTTCTCAGGGCACATAATAACTGATCTGCTAGAGCAAAATGTCGCTAGTTTTATGAAAAAAATATTCACAAATATCTGGAAAACCTTTCCTTGATTTAAATTAAAAGTAATGAAAATAATACATGCATTCTTGGAACTCTCTGAAATGAAACAGTATCTCAGGGAGGCTCTGTTAGTTACAGTCATCTCTAGGTGACCAGGCAGTTCTGTAGGAGAGCAGATGGCAATAGATGAAGGGTCATTGCCTTCTTTGGTGACTGTGCCAGGGCCTGGCAAGCCAGGCTGATGGCTGCTAGTGCTGTGAAGGGACGTGGTGCAGTGTGTGAGGGGGCATTTGCTGCTGGTAGAGACAGACGAGTTAGAGCAATTTCTTCAGAAACCTCTCAGCCCTCTGGCAGCCGCAGAACTTGGGGACTTGTCTCTTTCAGCCCCTTTCCCTGCCCTACTCTTCCCCTTAGGGGCACAAGGAGCTGCTCTTGCTCAGACACTGAGCGAAGCAAAACTAATTTTTCCTTGTACAGCTCAAGAGAATCTGGCTTGTTCTTGGTTACTTAGCATTTAAACTTAATTTCGTTATATTTTATGTATGTGTTAGTTTCTTGTCACTTATTTAGCAAAAGAAACAAAGATGGTGTGAGCAGTTGCTCCAGTGACAAAATTAAAGCCATGCTTTTGCTGCAAGTGATACAGACAATATTATGCAAGTGGTAAAGCTGTTTGATATGGTTCCCTTGTTTCTCCCCTTCAATAGTGCTCAGAGTAGGAAGACAAGAATCCCAACCACCTCTGCATAGGGCCTGTAAGTCCCAGTTGTAGCACTCTTATTTCACTGAAATCTTTGTAATGCAGTCTCGGTGTTCACACACTAAACTGCTTTTATTTATCTCATTATCATATATATGTCTTATTAGTCAAAGCTTTTACAGATGCTCTTGCTTTTTACAGCAATTCTTCTGAAGGCGTGAACCTTGTTGCAGGTGAGCATCTTTATGTATTTAGCAAGTGGGAATAAAATGAGTCACATGTCTTGCTGCCACCTTTGGATTGTTTACATTCTAGGCTGTATACATAGATTGCAGATATCAACACGATATGACTTCATTTGGAGAAAAAAAACCACTTCAGTAAATACATAGGAGAAGTTCATTAAATACTTAAATGAACTGAAAGTTTATCAGTGTTTGAAAGGCTTATTTTTTTATTTAATTACAAACATAGTTTTGTTATCCTAGACAATGGCTGTGATATGTTTAACCCTGAGAGTAAGTCCAGAATAAAATACAGTTTCAACTATAATTTCCCTTTCCTGTGCATGTTTTTCAAAGCAAGAATTTAAACATAGGCTATTCAGTTTTTATTGCAAAATTTTGAAGCCTTTCAAATTTTACAGAGTGAAACTGAACATTATGTGCAACTTTTAGCAAAAGATTCAAAGCCTATGAAGAAAGATAGAATCAGTCAATACCAGAAAGTTTCCAGAAAAACAAAAAAAGACATTCAAGCCCTCAGAAATCAACTACATTTAATGGGAAGTAATACTATGTTGCTATTCAAATCCATTTGCTTAGACACATGGTTGTTAAGAAGTCTTTTCAATGTAAATGAAAAAGGAATAAATGTCTAGTTAGAGATGTTTCAACTTGTTCAACCATTACTTTATTGTTAAAGATGATATTACAGATTATTGCAATTCAGAGAATAATTTGGAAAAATTTTGGTGAAGTAGGCATTAGATGTTGGTACATTTGTGTGTTGTTTGCGCAGTAATCCATCTTACCACTGCTGATAAATGATCAGAATTGAAGTAGAGTACAAGGCCATGTAACTATTGTGGATACTGAGGCGAATGCTGTGGCAGGAATGTGGCAATCGCAGCTTTGTACAAAAACGGTTAATGCAATGTCCCTGCACATGGTCTCCTCCCCAGGCGTCTCCAGTCAGGTGGCAGAGCTGAACAAGTTCTGTTATTCCCAGGGCCTCTTTGCTTACAGCTGGCTCAGGCAACACCATTTTTTTTTGAAAAATAAACATGCTTATTTAACATAAAGAGGTTTGTCCTTTATTAATTTAGTTGACAATCTGAGAATGACATTTACTGAAATTTATATTTTCAAAGTCCGTAACGTTCAATGTATTTACACAGTTAAAGATGATGACAGGCAACTTCTGAACATAGAGCCAATACCTTCAGAGCAATTGCTGGACACATACAAGAGGAAGATTGCTGATGAAGGAAGACTTTTCTTGGATGAATTTCAGGTTTGTCATTGGCTCAAAATATACTACAGATTTATAGTCAGGTAGTTGGAAGAATTCTGATCAAGAGCATGTTTGAAGTATATGCGCTGGTTATAAATAAATTAAAAAAAAAAAGAATATAGAAAAAACCTTCTCATTGATGGTCAAGTAGGCTTCAGTCAATTTTGCTACCAAGCTCTCCTCATTATAAGATAATGGTACTTTTTTTTCCCCCCTCAGAGAAGTTTTTCAATAAAATACACAGCCTAAATACTTCTCATTCTAAAGTATCTTTTAATGCATATTTTTAATACTCTCTTTTACTGTATATGTAATTGTGGAGTTATTTATAATTTATATTAAGGGAAAATAAATTTGTTTATTTTAGATATAAGAAATATAGGAAGTATTATTGTATGAAACAGAATGTTATCTTCCAGGCTCAGTAGTACCAAATTTCTTCCATATGAATTTGACTGTAAGTAGAAATTATTTTAAATATAAATAATAAAAGGAACATTGTATTTTACAGAGTATTCCTAGAGTTTTCACTAAATTTTCAATAAAGGAGGCCAAAAAAAGCTATAATCAGAACAAAAACCGTTACATTGATATCCTTCCGTGTGAGTATTTGTTAAAATTTTTGCATGCTTTATAAATATTTTTTCTCAGTGCCTTGAGATAATATATTTATTATGTTTTAAATTATTTAAACAGATGATCATAACCGTGTTGAGCTCTCAGAGATCTCAGGAGACCCAGGATCAGACTATATCAATGCAAGTTATATTGATGTGAGTGATTTTTACTTAAAAAAAGTCTTAGGCACTGTTGAAATTCTGTAGTGTGTACATTTCATGTATTGAACACACTTGAGAATTTTTATGAGGCCTTTCCATTTTTGTAATGTATTCGGTACTATTGGACTGTTGGATATTGAATTTATTTTTAGTTTCAAATCTTTTAAATTGTTCATGCTTCCTTTCTAAAACTTGATAACATTGTTCTTTTTATAGGGCTTCAAAGAACCAAGAAAATACATTGCAGCACAAGGTACTTTTTAACCTTAAAAGAATATGCTTGCTTTATTCACCCATTTTTTTGTTGGAGACTAGTTTAAAAGTATTAGCAGATTTAAATAAAAAATCTAATATTTTGAAATTTCATATTATAAAGTTGACAATGAGTTTTTTGCTTAGGGAATTTTATGAAGATGAATAAATTGTACTTCAAAGGCAGGTTTCTCATGATGTATAATTTTATACCAAATGTTTTCAGATTTCACAGCTATGCAGTAAAGATACATATGAGGCTTTAAAAATGTTGTAGCCTAATGGCAGTAGTCATAATGAAATCAAGTGTATGGCTGTTATTTGTGTGATCTCTGATTAGCTTTTCAGACTGTGTGGCTAAGCATGTCAAGAAGGCAAGTGTTTTTTCCATTTAGCTGTGCTCTTTGAATAACTCCCTTAAAATATCTCCTGCTAGGTCCCAAGGATGAAACCACGGATGATTTCTGGAGAATGATCTGGGAACAGAAGGCAACAATTATTGTCATGGTGACTCGCTGTGAGGAAGGAAAGAGGGTGAGAAATATCCATCCATCCATCCGTCCATCCGTCCATCCATCTTGCCATCCATCTTGCCATCCTTCCTTTGTCTGAAAACAGAATGGGTTGCTGTGCTGTGGTGAATTACGTCGTCTTCTTAGTGCTTTGTTTTCATTCTTTGCTGTTCTCTTGTTGTGGCAGAACCTATGTTGAAAAGCATGCCAAAACAGTGTTGCCTTATGGAATTACCAGTCTTATCAGAAAAATGTCACTTTAGTCACAGCTGTAAGTAGCAGAGGGTGAGCTTCCAAATTACAGCTAATAAATCGAGAAAGGGGCTCAAGGTAGAACTGTAGCTCCTCACAGACCTGACATGAAAGATATGGTTTGCATTTTTCTCCTGTCTGTTATCTTGTGATATCCTGATAATGCCCTCAGTAAATCCTAGACAGAGTATTTTTTTTAATCTATTGTCTTTGCCCTTCTTTTAACGGGAAGGTTGGGTGCTTCTGGCTTGCTTTTGTTCCTTATTCCAGGTACAGCAGGAAGAAGGAGAACTGCTGTCTTAACTTTTTTTAAAGACTAAAAGCTTGGCAGCATGCAGATTTACAGCATCCCCAAGTTGATGTTAGAGACAGGCAGGAACAATGTCCCTCACTGAAGACTGAAGAAGATGCTATAGAAGTAGCTGCAAATTTTTCTACAGCCTTCAGGGAACACCAGCAGTAGTTGTTCCCTTTTTTAACTAGTGTACAGGAATTTCCCCCCCCACTTTATGTTCCAAGTTAAATTCCATGGGCTTCAACTTCATATCACAGACCTGAATTGTTGAATATTTGGAATTATTTAGCACTGACATCCTAAGCAATGACAGCCTTTTCAGGGGAGGACAAGACCTGTGAGAAGCTGGAAAAACTACTGAGTTGCCATCTATTTTACATCATACTTTCTTCTAGCTCTCAGCTCTCTACCACTTTGCTGTTGTGCTGCTCACCTAGCTTCATATCTTCATAGAACAAATGTGCCCAGTACTGGCCATCAATGGAGAATGGCTCTGCAACATATGGGGACATCATTGTGAAGATCAATGAAAGTAAAACTTGTCCAGACTACGTCATTCAGAAACTGCACATCACAAATGTAAGTTGACTCAAAAATGTAAGACTGGCTGGAATTAGAGTGTCTATTTGGAGTCTGTAGGTATCGTTGAGAGGTCCTTTTAGCAGGAGAAGAGTCAGCTATCACCGGAAGATGCTTTGCTGTTTTTCCTTAAGCAACATATATTTTAAAAGAAAACTTCTTAGAAGTAGGTGTCATTCCTTACAGGAAATACGAGTTAGACATATACTTCCCAACCTAAAAATGTATCTTCCTTAGTACTCTAGAATCTGTGCTTAAGAAATAACTGTTAATATGCTGTTAAATATGGAAAACTTAATACATCATGGTTTCCTTACATATATAGCTTTTTCTTTAATACAGAAATTTTACTGGTTTATGTGTAGCTCAGCATAACCTTCTTCAAGTAAAATAAATGTGACTGATAGAGCACTGTTACCTGCCCTCATGATAAATGTACAGTGGGATGATTACAAATTCTGGTAAACCCAAGTGCATTTATAAACATAAGTGTTTTAAAATTACAATTTGGCTACATGTAGAATCACTAATACTGGTTAATTGCTCTCTTTTATACATCTGAAATCAGATTAGTTGCTCTGTACGCAATTGACGACAAAATTTGTCATCTAAGGCTAAACACTCCTCTCAGGCCTTTTGCAAAAATACTTCAGTGAGGGTAAATGGAGTGTAAGTCATAGCTAAAAGCATTAAGACTCTCAGAGTAAATCTACTGCTGCATCTTCAACAAAATAGTCAAGCAACAGACTCCACCCATCTTGACCCACGATTCCAGCTGGAAATTCCTATTCTGCTGTCTCATGTTGCATTAAAATTTACTCGGGAAGTGGTCTGATTAAAAGTTGTAACTTAGTGTGAAGACAGTGAGAATATCAGGATGTTAACAATTAATGAGTAACAAAGATGTTGCTCTGTGACCAGAACAATCTGACATTAGAAATGAGAGATTTCTGAAGGTTGATAACTGATGCTTTTAGAGCTGTTTAGACTGTTCTGCTGACATCATATGAATATAGGCAGAACTGACACTGGTTGTATAATTTAAGAGTGATCTCTGGTGAGAAAGTGATGTATTATTACTGCAACAATGGCAAATAACTATGTGAATAACTGTGCCACAACTGAATAATTCAACTCTGAGTTAGAGTTTGGTGATTAATTACTGGGGAAATGTCCATATAGCCATACTAAATCTTGGCCAGTAAAAAAATGCCATTGAGGGGGGGTGTCTTTCTCAGTTTGTTTTATAATCATGGTTATCAAAATGTATGTCCTCTCTTTTAATGTAGCAGCAACACATTAAATTAGGATTCAAGACTTGACATGCTTTAAGCTTTAATCAAGTGACTTAAAAGAGTCAGTCTCATGGAAAATCATAGGTTTTCTTGCACCTACTGTTTAATTTTAAATTTATTTTTTTTTAAATCATTTGTACCCTCAGCAGGCTACTCCTAGGAGACCTAAGAGAATTGCCAATCTGTACCCCTTGAAGTAAGCAAAGCTATACATGGGCCAAGTTGTTTATGAATAGAGTGAGGAAACGTATTATAGTCTGGATCATAAGCTAACCTGAGGAAAAAAAAAACATTTTTAGCAACACTTTGAACCTCCTGCTTGCCCTCAGTTGGAGGCATTGTGTGTTCCTGGTTCATATTTTTAAATTAAAATTGAATATGAAAAATTTCATAATGTGAGAGATTATCGGGATTACAGCATATTCAAACAACAGCATGTTGTTTGAAATTTCTGTTTCAACATTTGATAACTGTTGTCCTTATTTTTCTTCTGCTTTGTATACCAGACTTGATTTTGGCTTTGCATTTATATACGTGTATGTGTGTATATATACATCTGTATTAAAAAACCCCACACTTCACTTTGTCTAGGGAAGAGAAAGGACAGCTGGAAGAGATGTCACTCATATTCAGTTCACAAGCTGGCCAGACCATGGAGTCCCTGAAGATCCGCATCTCCTTCTCAAACTCCGACGCAGAGTTAATGCGCTCAGCAACTTTTTTAGTGGCCCAATAGTGGTTCATTGCAGGTAAATGTATATATTTAAAGAAATAAATAGGTTAATGTTAAATGAACTTGAAGTGAAGCTATTCAGAAAAGGGAGCTGGCAAAGCGATTTGGCTGATCAAAAATTTTGTGAATTGATTGAGAATGAGTCAGCCAAAGATGCCTAAAAAGTCCTGTTTTCTGAAGGTTCTGAAGGATATTCAAGTTGATAAAATCTGAGGGTACAGAGACTTTTGGAAAACAGCCAGATAGATGTCAGGCTGCTCCGGCTACAAGCACCATATTTGGCCTTACTTTCATTAGAAGATATTTAAAATACAAACTCGTGGTGTTGCTAATTAATTTACAGCAAGAACTGTTCTCAGTTGCTTCGTAACCTGTTACACATCTTCACTTTTGCTCTCTCACTGACTGCTTCCCTTGCAGAGTAGGACTGGGAGATGCCATTTCTTCTTGATGACCAAATGCCTTTGTGCTTTGCAGTGCTGGTGTTGGGCGCACCGGGACATACATAGGAATTGATGCCATGCTGGAGGGGCTGGATGCAGAAGGCAGAGTGGATGTTTATGGCTATGTCGTGAAACTGCGTCGGCAGCGGTGCCTTATGGTCCAAGTAGAGGTATTGCACTAAAAGTCCTCTTGCTTAGAACTCTCCTATGCTAGGGCTTCATCAGTATTTCTCAGAAGTGCTCAGCCTCGGGTACTGCTACAGTTCAGTGGAAGTTGTTCATAGAAAATATAGCTCGGAAAAGTATTAAGAGAGAGAAAAACTTCCAACACATTTTTGTAGTTTTAGAAACTTTAACTTTTTATGTTTAGGCATTAAAAAAAGGAAGCATAGAAGAATATTTTAGATTCGATAATCCAGCTTTTGGCATATAATTCACAAATGCAAAATTGAGCTAGGTGGAATTGTCATTTGAGTTGAGTACAACAAAAGTTATGGATTGACACAATGCATGTGTGGATTGACACAATGCAGATCTTTCAAATCTCAGTTGCATATTTCTTGAATGACATTGCATTTATTTGTGGAACACTTTTCATCCAACACACTAAATATGCTCCAAAATATCTAATTTGGAGTCACTTTGATTTTTAATAGTTGTATTTAATGCCTATTTAACATTAATGCTTAATACTATTAACACTAATAAAATGTTAGGATTAATGGTTTCTTATAATGGCTTTTAAAAGTAATATTATTTTTTTCACTGTTTAATAACTTCATTTTTAAACTCTTCAAATGGGAAACATCAGTCACAGTACATCCTTATCCATCAAGCGCTAGTGGAATACAATCAGTATGGGGAAACAGAGGTCACTCTCTCAGAACTGCATTCCTATCTTAACAACTTGAAAAGGAAAGATCCTCCGAGTGATCCTTCTCTGCTGGAGGCAGAGTTTCAGGTAAATGAGCATTGCATTCTAGTGCCCTTACCTCCCACTTTCATTAGAAAGTGCCTTGCACAATAGTCATGAGATAGAGTACTTAATGGATCACTTCTGTGCTATATTATTTCTCTGGCACAATAGGTTTCCTTACCTTTATGAAAAAAGTGTAAATTAATCAAATTTTAGTCCTGCTCTTGATGTTACTATTTTTAACAAAGATGAGGAGCACAGAAAGATTACTTGTGTCTATATGCATAATTTCTTGTGCCATTGTACATGGTATAGCAGGCATTTTAAATCTATAGTCCAGATGTGACCAAAGTGAAGCACTGGGAGATGAAGACTGGGTGTAGATGTCCAGGGGGAGACAATGATCCCAGAAACCATTATAATCAAGCATAATACCAAACATCATCTTTCTTTAGAGATTACCTTCCTATAAGGGGTGGCGTACACAGAACACTGGGAATCGGGAAGAAAATAAAAACAAAAACAGGAA